CTTCCCTTGAACTACTTCACATTCTGCTTCCACACACAGATTCTGGTATCTCACTTCGATTGTCGGCAGCTCCAATCCCACCCTAAAACCAGATTAATATCAATGCATTTGCAATTAAATCAATTATTTGCTTGTAAATAAGAGTTTAGTTATTACCTTTCCATTCTTTCTTTGAGTTTCTTCAAAAGCCGAAGATTATCCTCCTCGACTCTTGTTATCAATCTCTCAATGAAAACATGGCGTTCCGGAGCTCCAAGCTTGGTAACGTCTATCACCTCCATCTCTCTCTCTTCTTGGCCCTCCCTCGGAAACAATGACGACCTTATCCGCCGGAAAGTAGGAAGTCTCTCAATGGCTGCCCACTGCAGCTCAACTTCGTCATTGTCTTCCTTCATGCTGAAGGAAGTAGCCATTGCAGAGGCATCAGAAGACTCGTGGCGGAAAGAAGAGCCCATGCTGATCGTCAACGCCAGCACAAAGGGCAGAATGCTAAAGGTGAGGACTGAAGTTTATTTATGTGAAGAACTGACTATATATAGATGGAAAAGTGATTTGCAACTCTCTTTTTAAATTATTTTTTGGAAAACCTGTTTGAAACGTATCTTTCAAAACTAAGATTTTTAAGGTTAAATCCTTAATTTGATTCCTAAATTATTGTACGAATCCCTGATTTGATCCTTAAACTAAAAAAATCTCTGATTTAATCCTTAAACTAAAAAAATTCCTTATTTGATCTCTAAACTATTGTATGGATCCTCAGTTTGGTCTCGACTATTTACTAATTTACCTCAAATTGGTCCTTCTATAAAAAAATCAACTAATGTTTTTTTGTTATTAATGTGACACGTAGTCGTTAAGTTATTGTTTTTCATCGTTAAGTTATTGTTTTTCATCGTTAAGTTATTGTTTTTCATCGTTAAGTTACTGTTTTTTATCGTTAAGTTACTATTTTTCATTGTTAAGTAACGGACACATCAACTGTTTTTGTACGGAATGACCAATTTAGGGCAAATTTGTAAACAGTATGGATCGAATTGAGAGATCGTATAATAACTCAGGACCAAATCATGGATTTTTAATTTAGGGCCTGTTGACAACCACTTAAAATTTTTCAAAGACAATGAAAAATCAAGTGTAAAAATATATATAAAAGAAAAGAGAGTCGCCACTCGTCCAAATTATAAGGGGGGACACGTCACCTAAAACGGGTCTATGCAGAGATCAGAGTTCAAGGGTTCGGTTAAGAGTGAGGAAAGGCATACGCGCACCTCACAATCTTTCATTTGAACACGGTTGCAGACTTTAAAATTTGGGTTTTAATTCAACTTATTTATTATATTTGTATTTAAGTCTTAATAAGTAAGCTTGAAAGAAGGATAAACCAAATTGAAACATTTTTAAAATTTTTGGACTAAAATGAATAAAAAATCAAAGACATGCATCATAAGCACAAATAAAAATTAAAAGGACTAATTTGATTAAATTCAAAAATATGAAGGGTTGATTTAAAAAGATTTGAAACCTTGAGACTGAATTGCTTAATCATAAAACTTTTGGGTGAAATTGAGGACAAATAAAAGATAACTATGACTTTCACCAAGATTAAAGTCAATTGGGAATTAAAATTAATTAATTAAGATAATTAATCTAATTGAATAATTAACTTAACATTAAT